GGCCGGATCTCCGCATGAGGAATCGGGAGCAGATCCAAGCTCCCCTCGGACCCCTCTCACCCCCCACGCGGAGAGCTCCACAGCAGCCGCCCCGCGTGGGGAATCTGGGGAGCCGACAGCGGGCGGTCCGGACGCTGGAGGGGTCCACCCAGAGGGAGGGGTGTCCTCCGTGACGGAATCCGGGGATCGGGACCAGCTGGTCAGCCCCTTCCCTGGAGACCCGGAGGCGTCCGGACCTGTGGAGCAAATCCTCCTCTCCCAGCCCGGTGAGTCCGCCCTCATCCTTCACGGCACATCGCTCCGCGGGTCCGCATTAACACGCCGGGAATCTCCCTGTGCTTGTACCGCTGCTAGAAATGAGAAATCAAGGAAAGTTGTGAATTAACGAGGAGGTCATTCAGCCCGTCTAGCTCTTTGCTTCCTAGCTGGCAATCGATCCAGGGATCTCGTCCAGCTGTTTTCGAAAGACTCAGCTTCAACAACCTTCCAGGGGCCACTAGCTTCAGTCCCCCACAGCCCAGCGCTTGACGAAGCAGCTCCCGTCCTCCGTCTTTAAACGCACTGCCTTGCAATTTCCCCTGGTGTCACTGTTTACTCTCAAGAAGTCCATCAGTATGCCAATGGGGCGTAGGGAGCTCTCTGCTCAAGACCGAAGAGGTTAAGTTCCTTGAACCCGTCAATGGTGGAAATTGACCCTGAAGGCCTAGAAACTCACTGATACAGTTCAGGTTTTGCAGTGTCAGGCCCTGAAACATAGTCCCCAAGACCAGGTGGGGCATTTTTCACGCCTGTTACCCTATTTTAGGAGATTGAGGAGATTTCAGACAGCCTATACAAATACAGGGATTGACTTGTGGTTCAAGCGCCATTTTGTGAAGCGTAAATGTATGTTACGTGTTTGTGCAGCTCTGGGGGCAGTTGTTAGACTTGTGACCTTTCACCTGGAAAGTGGAGGGCTCAGTCCCAGGTAAGGCACTGCTGTCCGCTTGGATTAGATTTAGAGCTTCACTAAGCCCAGCTGTGTCAATGGGTGCAAACGCAAGAACTTTTATTTGCAGGTTCATCACAATCTCGTACTGAGTGGAGGAAAAGGACAAAACCTGCATTAAATCAGATCTCCTCGATATACTTAGGTATAAGAAGAAACAAAACCACAGGTATTATTACCATTTGGTAGTTAGAAGTTAATTGAACTAAGGAGCTCATCCAGCTGTTTCTTGAAAGATGCCAGGGTATTGTTTTCAACCACATGGCTGGGTGGTATGTTACATACCTCCACCAACCTTGGTGTAAAGAAGATCCCCCCTGTTCTCCATTATAAGTGCACTTCCACACATTTTCCACTTGTGTTCCCTGATTTGTGTTTTGCTGTTCATTCTGGAAACCGTCTGCCTTGACTATGTGCCCTTTTCGGGAACATGGCTGGATTTTATAAAATGATTATCCTGAATAAAAATTGTATTCTTGAAATCTCATCTTTTTCAAATGATTTAAGCTAAAACAAAGTTAATAACTGGAAAAAAAACTAGCAGGAAAGAAAATCTTCTGAGGATGCTTAGAGCTTGTGATTTTTACCAGCTCTTTCAAAAAAACTGCAGGTCTTGGGGGCGCAGTTTTCACAAAACTACTCCCGAAGAAGACATGAGTTCTCTTTCTCTGCCCCTCTGCTCTCTCACCCCCAAACAGTGTCAGATAACTCTCTCATCTCCTGGAGCACTGTTGCACTGTATTTTGTGTTGGTGATGTTTGTTTTTGTGGTAGTGTTGTGTTGGACTCTGCAGCCAAACGAATATTCCACCAGGGGATAATGAAGCTCAAAATTAACTTGAGAAATTCAAGTATACGAGAGAGTGAACTGCAGTTTTGTTTCCACAGGCGCTGACCCCACGCTGCAGCTGCCGGGCTCGTCCTGGCCAGAGTCCTCTGCCCCAGAACAGGAGGCTGGGGGAAAGGCGGTCGAGATGCTGGTGGGGCCAGTCACAGAGGTGCCCGCCGGGTCAGCTGACATCACCGTCCCCGTGGAGCCTGAGCTACAGGCCAGCAGCGCGGGGCCAGCCGTGTCTGGTGTCCATGAGGGTGGCCAGCCCAGCGGCCTCCCAGTCAACCTTTTGACCTCCCCAGCCCCTCCCACTGAGCCCCTCCCAACGTTGTCCCCCTTCTGGCCTGTGTTGGTGGAATCCAGCACCCCCGGTGACCTTGAGACCCATGGGCCAGAGATCCCATCTGGGGAGCCGCAGTCTGGCTCGGAGCACCAGGAAGGATCTGTGGAGCAGGTCGTCTTGGAACAAACACCCGATCTCCTGCTCCCAACAGCAGCTCCTCCTGCTGAAGTCGTGTCAACCCCAGAAGGCAGTCAGGAGTTGGAGCCCGACCTCTCCCTAGGAATTCCCTTGGAGCCAGAGCCTTCTGGAGACCTGGGGCAAGTCCAGGAATCCACTTCCTTCCAGGAGGCATCTGTTGAGACTCATATAGACTCTGGGGAGGGTTCAGCCATCAGTGAGGCTCCAGATCTTCTGGCTATGACCCTGGCACCACCGAATTCCACCGTGGGGCTCTATGAGACAGCCAGCACCACCAGCGGGGAGCTTCCGAGCACTCCAGCCACCTCACATGTGGAAAACAGTGGGTATGAAATAGTCAGATCCCCCTCAGAAATCCCGACTACAGAAATTGGGATCACCCTTCTGCCCAGAGAGCTGGGAAGCCCAACTGGGGACTCACGGTCACCCACTGTGCCCCAGGAATCCCGGATGCCGGATTTGGAATACAGCGGGGACCATTCCCCTGTGCCTGAGGGACACCACCCAGACGTTTCAGCCCACCCAGACCTTACCAAACCCACCGCCCTCTTCCCCACGACTGGACATCCCACTGCTGACACCACGACCACTCCAGCCCTCTTCCTGCTTGCAACCCAAAGCCCCTCCAGCACCCTGGGGCTGAATTTTACCACTGAATCCACTCCCACGGCCGCTTGGGAAATGGAAGGGTTTCACGAAACCGAGACCACCTCGGCCCTGCAGACGCCAGCCGGCACCACCCAGCCGGGGTCCGCAACCATGACAGAGGGTGCCCCTCCACCCTTGCCTGCCTTGCCTAGTGAAAGTGCAGTGTTAGGACGGGCCTCGAATGTCTCAGGTAACGTCTCCAGCACTCTACCGGTCTTAACCACCCTCGTGTTTCTTCTCGGCTTCGCAAGGCACTAAAACACCGACTCTGTCTCTACTCCCCCAACCCCCACCTCTCTCATTGTCCCACCACAGCCACGCTCCCTGTGTTCTCGACTGTCCACTATCCCTCTCCGTCTTACTGTCCACTCCCTGTCCGACCCACCGACCGGGCACTGAGAAAGGGACGGCTCCGCCTAGCGTTTGTCAGACAAATCTCTCTAGCTGTGCATGCTGCTGTGTTTCTCTCCAGGCTTGACTTCTGTGAAGTATGTCCACTTTTGACCGATGGTTTCTGTGAAAAAAAAAAGAAAGAAAATCTATATTAAAAGAAAGTGTTTTCTTTTTCTACCTTTTGAGAGACGTCCTCTCTTCCTCTGCCTGCCTGTGTTATCTGTCTTCATTTCCTGTGTCTGTGAGGGGTGGGGATAGAAAGTGCTCGAAATCGTATTCGGTTACGATGGGGGGGGGGGGATCTCTTTCTCAAGTAAGAGTTAAAAAGAACAGAAAAATTGAATTGAAGTTTCCCAAATCTGTACTGAGAACTCTGCTGTGTCAAGGTATCTGAATGATATGGTATCACTATCACTGTGACAAGGTATCACTATGGTATATAAAGAAGAAATCTTACAAAGACTTAAATGAGGAAACACTAGTGATCATAAGTCTTTCCAGTTTTTCTTTTTGCTGTGCAGAACACAAGGCAAGAAAGAGATTCAGCTGGACTAACATCCTCAGACAACCACATAATCACACAATGCATCTTCTACTGCCGTAACCAATATTTATTGAAAGATTTGGAAGTGGTGCATGAGCTTTAAATGAGAGTAATTTACTAAAAGCTTAGTCTGGATGTGGTAGCTTAATTACATTTTGATTAACAGTTCCCAGTCAAAGTTACCATGCTAGAGCAGTGCCAACACTGTAGGTGAATAGGCAGCTTGTTGTCAAGGCAAGTCTAGGCAAAGTCCTGCTTTCAGCAGGGACAAAGGAACACACACAAACACACACACACACACACCCACCAGACATACACATACATACTTTTGTTCAAATATAAATGGGGATCCAAAATGGCAGTGGTGGGAATCCAGTGTTTTAAGACCTAACCTGAGACAGGACCATTGATCTTTTTCCTATTTTAGTAACTGGTGGGGTTCACAAAGCTTGAACTGTTGGCTATTCCTAGGATGAGAAAGTTGGGATTGCAGTGTTCTTGTAAAAAAGCAATCCTTTAAGATGTATTCAGTGAAAAATGCACACACATATATATACATGGTTTCCATTTTGTTAACCTTATTTAAGATAAACTGTGATATAGGCGAGTCCCATAGACTGTAGCATGTTTAACTCTGAAAACTAATAAAAATGCACCAAAGATCAGTTTTACTAATATAACTTCCATGCTCCTGGGATAGATCAGGTCACCCTGTTTAAAAAGAATTTTCAACACCTTTAATATTTACAGGGTAAATATCAACGCACATACGGAACAGGAGAGGACACTGAGCTTTTAAAGACGTGTCCTTCCCAGTTTTACTCAAGGAACAGTCTAAAATTAAGTTCTGATTGAAATGGTGCGTTTATCATGAGCCTCTCGTGCGGTGAACTGTAGGCTCGAACTATGCAAACCAGGGTTCCTTTGTAAAAGAGACGTTCTGGAGTCAAAGATATTTTATCCTATATTATTATCATATTTTATATTTTATAGTTAAACAAGGGCTGATTAAAAAGCAGAGAAAATAATGTGCATGGAAGCATTATAATTATCTTGTCAAGACTTGGCAAGAATAATTTTCATATATATAATATACATAATATGTAGATACATGCTGTATTCTGTAATGACAATTAAATTCGATCGGCCTTAGCGCGGAATTGCAAAGCATTGCGGTTAGGAGCAGAATGCATTTTGACAGGAGTAACTGCACGATGCCTTTAGTGAAAGTGAAGTACACACACGTCCGACATGAGCAACCGAATACTCCAGCATATCCCTTTGACAGAAATGTCGTCTGCTTCTGCACGTCCTTTCCATTGAGACACTCGTCTGCGGTTTTGCGTCGGCAAGGGAAAGCAGGCGGTGGTCTCTGGCTCCACCTGCTGGTCAAAGCAAGACATTGCTTGAGTTCCTGAAGCATACAAGCTCACAGCCCGCTGTAAATGGCTATTTCAACTGGTTCTTCGTATTTCCCTCTGACGGCAGGCGGAGCGACGCGCCGCTTGGAGTATTCTCGGTCGCATTTAATGGCAACGTCAGCTCAAAGATTTGGTTCAAACCACCAAATGGAGACGGGCGGGCCGACAACCGGACCCTGCTGATGAGGGATTAGCGCTAGAATGAGAGAGAGAACTGGCTCTTCGTATTATGAAGCGGACAGCTTTGCACCGAACTCTGGGTTTCAGCGGGGCGCGTTGTTTTAGAGACCGAGATGACGGGATTTGAAACAGCTGGGTCAACGTAGGACTTGGAGGTCCCACTTGAATTCGTGGTATGCAGTGAGGGAGCGGTGGTGTTTGGGGGGTGAGGGGGTGGGGGCAGGGGAATAAACGCGACCCCCAGGTGTCTCTCCCCCCCCCCCCAGTGCTCTAAGTCTTGTCTGTGGACACTCCCCCAGGCCCTCAGTGTGGGAAAGTGGGCAGTTCTGTGGAATCTGGCCCCAGGGCAGCCGAACCACAGAGATGACTCAGAGAGGACGGGGAGGGGGAGGGGGGGCTGGGATCGGACTGGATCGCGGCGCGGGAAGTAGGAGGGAAGCAGTCCGGGGTGCAGCCGGGGCTCTGGGGAACCCGCAGGCCGCGCCCCGCCAGCATTGCCCTGCTCTCGCTGTGTTTCAGACGCCTGCCTGGACAGCCCCTGCGCCAACGGGGGTACCTGCGTCGAGGAGGGGGACTCGGCCAAGTGCCTGTGCCTGCCCACCTACGGAGGGGACTTCTGCGAGACTGGTAATGCTGGAGATCGCCTGCTGGTTTCGTCTTGATTCTTCTTTTTTTCTTGATTTTTGATCCTGTTTTCGAAGAGACACTGTGGGGGCCACTCTGACCCTCAGAGAGCCACAGTCGTGGTGCTTTTAATGGGGCACCCCTTAAGTCAGAGGACCCCAGTCCTGGTCCTGCAGACCCCCCCCCCATCCACACACACGCCTTCTGGTTTCTGTTCCTGCCCAGCTCTCCGTTACACATTCGAACCCTTGACTGATTTAGTAAAGGGATCCATCTGAAGTGTTCAAGTGTTTTCAGCTCTTACAACTTGTTGGGCTCTTGCGGGTCATAAATAAAATAAAAAAGCTCAAGCTTTTCAGTAGAACCCCCCCCCCCCACAAATATTCAAATATCCAACAACTTATTAGTTCAATTAAGACATCAATCAGGCCAGTCAAGCTCATGTTGAACTCCTGCAGGGGTCTGTGTGTGGGCCTCTGGGATTGGGCACCCCTGACTTGTAAGTGTACCTGGACTGGGGTCACAAGGACCAGAATCGGGAACCCCAAAACTATAAGAGTACCTGGGCTGGGGTCCCCAGAACCAGGACTGGGATCCCTTTCTTGGTTAACTTCTAAAAAGTCATGATGAAGACCGATGGCTTCAGCAGTTCTGGGGTTTTAATGATCCTTAAATCCTGGAAGACTCCGGCTTGGAGATGATTCATTCCAAACTTGGAAGAATACCTTCTGAAACCTGCTGGACAGCTGCCCTTCCAGAGTAGTGAAGACCCCCCTCTGCTCTGCTTTCCAGCTTTTCCCCAGAGAGGCTCCCTCTACACAGCTAAACAGCTGTTCACTCCAATTCACAGTTCACAAACCGCAGTTCGGCAATGCCCCTCTTTAAAGACAGACAGATCTGGAATTGATGACTGTTTTTTTACGGATCAACCTCTTTGGAATCGAGAATTATCTATGAGATGGCCCCGCTCCTGCGACTCCCTGGCCAGTGAACACTGTGAGGGAGATGGCCTTCATCCCTCCATCCTTTCTCTGTTCTCCTCTCCGAGTCTATCCCAGCAAGCAACAGCCACAAGGCAGGATACACCCTGGACAGGACGCCAGTCCATCACAGGGTGGGCCCACAGACACAAACACACACTCACACCAGGGCCAGTTTTCCCAGAAGCCAATTAACCCACCAGCATGTCTTTGGACTGTGGGAGGAAACCGACTTGACTACGGGGAGAACATGCAAACTCCACACAGACAGCACCCCAGGAACTGAACCCAGGGCCCCAGAGCTGAGAGGCAGCAATGCTGACCACTGTGCTGCCTGCGGGCCTGCCTGTGACCCTCAAAACCTGCCTTTGAATCAGAACTAGTGCTGTCTTCACTGGATAATCCTTAGGATTTTCTGTGTCTATTTAAATGACCAACAGCTCAAACCTGTGCAGAAGGGGATAAGCTAGTCCAATTAAACTTCAATTTGATCAGTTTAAAACTTCCAGCTGATGAGGAGCTCTTATTAGCTTAAGGAGACATGGAAAAGACACTAGATTCCAGACTTTGAGGGCCTGAGCTGGTATTCCTTGCAAGAGGAAGTGGAAGAAAACCTGACCTGTAACAAACTCAGCAAATACCAGGGGCATCTGGCCAATCAGGTGCCTTCTGTCAGAGCAAAATACTCTGCTAGTGGCACAGCCTGGACTCGAACTAGTGACATCTGGACTATAAGGCTCAAACGGTGCTCCATTCCTGGCTTAGCTCTGCATAAGGCCTTCTGTGCTAAGCATTGATATTAAAGATACAGGTTCAAAAACAATTCATTTGCTCCGGACCTTATTCAGGGACCGTTTTCATCCTTGTATGTATCTCTCTCTTTCTTTATCTCTGTCTGCCGCAGATCTGGAGCACTGCGAGTCCGGCTGGGAGAAGTTCCAGGGCTTCTGCTACAAGCACTTCAGCCACCGGCAGGGCTGGGAGGTGGCCGAGCAGCACTGCCGCATGCTTGGGGGTCACCTGGTGTCTGTCATGACCCCCGAGGAGCAGGACTTCATCAACAGTATGGTTCCTACCGTGACACCCGCATCTAGACACCTACACACTCTCCTGCACAGAAACCCCCAAGGAAGACCTTTCTGACCACAAGAGCATGAGCAATAATGACCAATGCAATATCCCAACTTTATGCAGTACTATAAGTGTTTGGTAAGCAATAGGTACTTTATGAAAAGAGTGGTGGGGGTCTGGAACCAGTGGCATTTAGAACAGCTGCCTCTTGAAGGATCTCAGATAATCAGCTGGCTTGTTCCAGACCCCTGCCACTCTTTGCGTAAAGCGCCTCATACTTTCCAAACACGGCAGTGCTGTACAAAACTTGGGTGATTACAAGCTAAAATTTTATTATCCGTTCATAATGTAACAATCCACATTGCTTTCCGATCATCGGAGCAATGTTAAAAGGTGTGGCAGTTAATTTTCAGCGGATGTAGAGCTTGTAATTGGTCTGAAAGAACTCCAAGGGTTAACAATAATGTGCTCTTGCTTCACGTCCCTTCCCGACAGCCTGAGTTACAGGGGAGAGTGGGAGTAGGTGGCTGGTGAAGTTTTTAAGTTGTGGTATTGTGATAGCTGTGACCCCAGCCCACCTCTGTTAGCTCCTGATCTTCCGTGTGACTCGCATTCCCGCCTGAATCGACCTCTCTTCCTTCCCAGATCAATATAAGGAATACCAGTGGACGGGTCTGAACGACAAGACTATCGAGGGAGATTTCCGCTGGTCTGATGGGAACCCCCTGGTGAGTCCCAGACACTCTTTGAACTGAGACCCAGAGATCCGCTAGGCCTTTCAGACATGAATTGCCGACAGCATCTGAGGGCAAAAACATGGGGGCTGGTTTTAGAGGCCACATGGCAAACCTTCCATTGGAAAAAGAGAGATCATCATGATTTTCAGCCTTTTATCAATCCAGGGGCTGTATTAAGGCGTCTGCAAGACACATCTATACATGTTGAGACAGACAAGCAGACAGATTAACAGGCAGCTTGCTTATCTGCCTGCTTGCTCTACCGGTCTGCTACCTGTTTGCTTATCTGCCTGCCTTCCTTGCTTGTCTGCCTGCCTATAACTTTATGTTTATGCAGCACAATATTCAGGATTTTCTCCAGTTTATCTATTTCTATTATTCCACGGGTTTCTTTAATTGTCCCGGCTGCTTTCAGAAAACCACGGTACCAAAGCAAAAGATAAGATTGGACCCCTCCCACACATCCAGTCGTTTTACTTCCCATTACGCCAGAACCACAGCACATTGGGACTTGATTTCCCAGTATTTGTGTCCCCCCATCTCCCCCCTGTGATCTGTGCTCTGATCAGAGTGGATAAAATCGGGAATGGATTCAGCCACTGGAGCAGGTTCATAATGCCGGGAGCATGGAGGCAAAGCCAAAGGTTTCGCTGGAGCTCAGCAGTGCCCTGTCCAGACTGCACACAGAACACTGCCCTTCCTGTCTTCTCTTCCTGTGAGAGTATATGAGTAACTGTTTGTCTGGGAGCAACGTGCATGCCTTCTGAGCCTGAATGCTGTGTCCTCTCTCTGCACCCCACTCTGGCCAGCTGTATGAGAACTGGTACCGCGGGCAGCCCGACAGCTACTTCCTGTCCGGAGAGGACTGCGTGGTCATGGTGTGGCACGACGGCGGGCGCTGGAGTGACGTGCCCTGCAACTACCACCTGTCCTACACCTGCAAGAGGGGCACCTGTGAGTATACACCTGGCACCATGGAGCTCTTGCTCGGAGCTGGAGTCGGAAATTGAAAAGGTCCAGGGGTTAAGATGAGCATGTTTTGACAAGGAGGTTACCGGTTCAGAGCTTCAGAGGAGACAGCAGCAGGAGCAGTTACTCAAGTCTAGCCGCCAGCAGCTACATCAGTCCAGCTGGCAGTCCCACTGAGAGCACAGCAGGTGTGAGCCTGGTCAGTACCTGGATGGGAGACCTCCTGGAAAGCTAAGGTTGCTGCTGGAAGAGGTGTTAGTGGGACCAGTAGGGGGTGGTCACCCTGTGGTCTGTGTGGGTCCTAATGCACCAGTACAGTGACGGGGACACTATACTGTAAAAAGGCATCTTCTTTCGGATGAGATGTAAAACCGAGGTCCTGACTCTCTGAGGTCATTAAATACCCCAGGGCGTTTCTCACAAGTTCCCTGGTGATCTGGCCTCTGGGCTTTACCAATCATGGCCTCCTAACAACCCCCGTCTCTGAACTGGCTTCATCACTCTGCTCTCCTCCCCACTGAGAGCTGGTGTGAGGGGAGAGGACTGGCGCATCATCCAGGTGGGGCTGCACACTGGTGATGGTGGAGGGGATCCCCATTACCTGTAAAACACTGAGTGGAGTGTCCAGAAAAACACTATATAAGTATAGGGAATTATTAATTATTAGTCTTGAGTTCAAGCATCAGTCGTACAGCTTAGCTACTTGTATTCTCACACATCTGCTGTCCTCTTTCATTCACACACTGGCCAGCAGGTGGCGCTGCAGACACTGTATCCTGGACTGTCGCACAAACAACTTTTTTCCTGTATTTTGGATATGAAATGTTTTTTGCATGGATGCTTATAAATGGAACTTGTGACTGTTGCCCTCTAGAGAGAGCGCGCAGGCTGGGTTGAAATCACTCTTCCTCCCCCACGGGGGTCCAAGTGACTGTGAGAGAGAAGCTGGGAAAATTTGAAATATTCACTCCTGTGGACCGATCCTATGGAGTGCTGAAGCAGGGATTCAGGATAAGGTTACAGAAGCTCACTTTCCATGGAAAGAGCAATCCCTTCAGTTAATAAATAACAGAACCAAGAGCTCATGAGATATTTTTAACGTGCAGATAGAATATATGAGTACGTGTACAATGTGGTTGGTATCTTCGTACTGTAGAAACTGTATGGAAGAACAAGAGTCACTTCTTTACGTAAAGGGTAGTGGGAGTGTGGAACAAGCTACCCAGTCATTTTGTTGAAGCTGATACCCTGGGCTTCTTTCAAGAAACATCCATCCATTTTCTAACTGCTTCATCCAATTTAGGGTGGCAGGGGGGTGCAGATCCTATCCCAACATGCAACGGGTGCCAGACAGGCTACACCCTGGATGGGACGCCAGTCCATCACAGGTCACACACACACACACACACATACACACACACACACACCTGGGCCAGTTTTCCAAGAAGCCAGTTAACCCATCAGTGTCTCTTTGGAGTGTGGGAGTAAACCGAGAGCACCCAAAGGAAACCCACACAAACCTGGGGAGAACATGCAAACTCCACACAGAGAGCTCACTTTCCCTTGCTGCAGTGTCACCCCCTTTCCAGGAGCCCCTTGATCCTCTGATCAGTTAGCCGCTAACTACCAGATAGGCCAGACGAGCCCCATGGCCTCCTCACACTTGGGGTCTTTCTGGTGCTCGCTGCCCCTCCCCCCCCCCACCATCACGCTCTCTCACGGCCTTCGCTTCTGTCTGTGGTTTCCGCGCAGCGTCCTGTGGGCAGCCCCCCGTCGTCGCCAACGCCATGATGTTCGGGAAGCCGCGCGCGCGGTACGAGACCCACTCCGTCGTGCGCTACCACTGCAAGGAGGGCTACCTGCAGCGGCGCAGCCCCCTGGCCAGGTGCCTGCCCGGCGGGGTGTGGGAGAGGCCCCAGGTCGTCTGCGTCCCAGGTGAGCGCCGGCCGTGCCGCCCCGAGCAGCATGCAGGGGTTTTGGGGGGTTTGAGGCAGAGCCAGTTTTAGGGTTCGGGGTAAAAACTGTGACTAAGGATCTTCCAAGGGCCCGAGCGCTGCTGGGGTAGAGGTTGGATGAGTTGTTGTGAGAAAGCTGAGACTTAAAGGGGAGCTGCAAGGCTATTTTTTTAATTTCAGGGTTTGAAAGAATCAGATTTGAAGTGTATATATATATGAAAGGGAGCTGATTAGGAATGAGCTACTACCAATCTGGAGGGATCCCAAAAAAAGGTTATTGACTCCAGATTAACTAAATTGTCTGGTATGAACATTAGTGTGAGTTGAGAGAGGGGTATAACACAGTCTTCATTTTCTATGATCTGTTGAGGTTCTAGTTCAGTTCCCACGTGTTGTGTATTTATAAAGAATGAGAAGGTCATTGGGCAGGACAGTGGCACAGTGGTCAGCATTACTGCCTTGCAGCACTGGGGCTCTGGGTTCAATTCCTGGGGTGTCGTCTGTGTGGAGTTTGCATGCTCTCCCACGTTTTCTTTGGTTTCCTCTGGGTGCTCTGGTTTTCTCTTCCACAGTCCAAAGACATGCTGGTGGGTTAATTGGCTTCTGGGAGAGTTGTCCCTGGTGTGAGTGTGTGTGTCAGTGTGTGCCCTACGATGGCGTAACGACCCATGGTGTACCCTTCCTTGGCCCATTCTTGCCAGGATGTACTCCAGCTTCCACATGACCCTCAATTGCATGAAGCAGTTAGAAAACAGATGGGTGGATAAGATTATCTTACGATGATGTTGTTTTTAAAATATCTCATTTTACGTGGAAGCTTTTACAAATATGAATCTTAGTCAATGTAGTCGAGCTACAGTTGTGATCCCAGGTGCTAGTAGCTATGATGCGGGCTCTGCAGAGAGGAGAGAAGGAAAACTGAAACAGAATTGAAACGTGATATGTTCTGTTTACAAAGAGCACAAGAGCCGTTACTAGTGAAAGGAGGGTCTTATGCCCACCAAACCTGTTTGCTAGCTAATTAATCCAAGGATCTAATCTAGCCATTACTTGAAAGAAGCCAGGGTATCGGGTTCAACAACATGGCTGGGCACCTTGGTCCACACTCCCACCACCCTTTGCATAAAGTAAGGCCTTCTGTTCTCCAGTTGGTGAAGAGCAGGTCGTCCGGACGGAGGCTGACATTGACGACCGGGGGTTTGCTTTCGCTCCTTGCCTTGCAGCACCGGCTTCTTCTGCGCAGGACAAGCAGGTGGCGACACCTCCGCCGGAAGACGTAACTGCAGCCGCAGTCACAGGACAGTCGGGCGAGACCGGCGACTTCTGGGAAATCAAGTGGAATTAAAATCCCTTTCCCGGTTCCTGTGCACCCCACCCCCCACTCCCACTCCCACTCCCACTCCCTCCTATCAATTCACGTCACACAGACACCAACCTCCCTGTGACAGGAGAGCTGGCGTTCTTCCACATCGCGCCCTCCCACTCCCAGCACCCCTCGGTGCAAACCGACAACCCCCTCTCACAACTGACAGCGTCTGCATCTCCCTCTGTTTCCACACAACGTCTCTCCTTTGTGGAGTCTGACTGTTCTGTTTGCTCTGTCTGACTCTTCCACCCCGAAACGACTTGTCAGGAGCCAGCGGACAGGAAGTGGGCCGGGGGTAGCAAAAAGGAGTTACACCCATGCCTCGCAGATCCAAATGATGAGCGCTGTGCGTCAGTAAAATGCTTCCCCCGGCTCATTTCCTGCCGCTCACAGTTGAGAAGGCGTTTTCAGGAAAGGGTGAAAAAAGAGGACAATGCAGATGAAGTTTGTTCTTCAGGGCTGCGAGGGGGCCACATTCTGCAAATTCAAGAAACGATGAAAGAGTAGTTCAACCTTATCATCTCGGGTTCCAAAATTCCAACTATTCCATGTTCCAGCAGCTGGGCTCTTTTGAGTAGCGCACACCCTGGACCGTTGCAGCAATCTGTGCTTTACCTAGAATTTACCATGGCTGTGGGGGAGGGAGTGGGAGGACCATGCATGAACGATGCTACAGCTCACCTGCTGATGTGGAATTTGTCACTGAGCTCCAAAGCCAAGTCTTCCGACGTGTTGTTTCAGCTGTGCGTAAAAAAAAACACCCAACTGGTTCCAAATCTTTCACCCGGCACGCCTGTCCAGCTCCTACTTTTTGTAGCACGAGCTTCAGCTGAAGGAGGCCGAGCCCCAGAGGCTGTCGGCTTTGCTCCCCCGCCAGTCTGTGTGCATTAAGATTGCTCGATGCCGATAACCCTCCTGACGCCATTCTAATTAAAAGCTTTATGTTATAATAAAGTTTCTTAGAATAAAGTAGGTATTTGCATCCTCCTAACATGTTACGCTTAACCACCTAACATCGCTTAGCCAGCATCTTTCACAAAATATTTATGGGTGCATTTTCTATTTTCTCAGAAGTTACCCTTTTTAGCTGTTTTTTTTATAAAAAGAGAAAGGCTTTTTTTGAATATGGTTTCATATTTATATCATGGCCACTGGATAATAAAAATTGCCCTTCTTAGAACAGGATTTAGTGTATTTCTTACATTTTCTTCATTGCCAGCAGTTTTGAAGTATTTTCCTATGTTTTTACTGTTTTTACTGAATGCTACTATACTGGACTAGGATAACAGAGGTTAACAGGTAACAGTGACAGAAGTGGATATGCTCCATAGAGCATAGACTTATGTACATACAGTATGTAGGTAAAGTGTTGCATGATCACAGGTTATGTGTAGTAAGACAGTAAAACAAGGAAAAGTGTGCCATCAACCAGAGTAAAAGCACAAAACACACGTACCAGGCTGGACCTTCATAAGGGAATAACGAAGTTGTAAGGTTAAGACTAAAACCCAGCTCCACATCCTTCATGTTCATCTGAAAGCAATATGACTCAATGCCTATTTTCAGCCCAAGCCCAGGGAAGACCTGCTTTCACAGGCACCTGATCAGTAGGGGGCGCACTTGCAGAATGAGACAAATCAGCTTCGGACATTTTTTTTCAAATCCATTTATTTACCTCTGTTGTCTGTGGGTGGTGGGGGAGGGGGGACTCCACCTACGCTACCTGTGTGTACCCCCAGAAAATGGGATTTCTTAAGACTGGAACTCCTGAATTCAGAAGTTCACACTCCAACTGCTAAAGGTGCCTCAGTATCTACCATGCACTTTTATGTTTTTTTGTGTGAGTAATTTATTTTTAGGGCTTGTTTTTTTTTCTCCTGTTTTGACTTTTTTTACATAGCGTGCCAGTGCAGAGTGCTAGCAGGAGGCTAAATGTCCTGCAGCTGGCTGCGAACACTGTGCAATGTGCAGTATGTAGCACGACTGGCTGCAAAAACTGCGCAGTGTGTCTAGTATGGAGTACAAGGAGCTGCAAGAGAATACGAATTCAGCAGCTGTCCCTACTGCAAAACTCTGTCATTAGTTACACAGCTTCGATCTCAGCATATTAAGCATATGAGAAAATCTGTTGTTGCATGCTTTTTTCACTTTTCATAACTTGCATTGGCTCAGCTATCAAAATGATAATGGACATCTCTCGGGAACATGGCAGAAATCGTTTTCTCTCTGCATTAAGCCTCTCAAGCTCTCTGACTCCTCTCTGATGCAGGAGGGCCCGTTGCACCAGTAACCCTTACTTGTACTTCATGCTGGTAGCAGAAGATTGTGCCAGAAATATAAGACAGGAAAGACTCAAAGTGAAGAAGCTGTGAAAAGATTAAGGTGTTGACATGATCTTCTAGACAGAAAAAATCAAGTCCTGCATGCTTCAGGGTGTCATCTGGTATAAGGAACCTGCAGTGTCCTTTTTAGTATCCCAACTGCTATCTCTCCTAAGCATTTTCGGAGCAATAAGTAAACCTTTTTTCTTATAAATGCAAAAAACTTCAATCCTTATTTTTACTGCCTCAGCTTGCTTCTCACCCATCATACCTAGTTTGATTTCTGTGAGCTTGACTTTGTTAACATTGTATTGGAATTTGGCACAATGAGTTTTAGAACGTGTACAGAACCCAGCAGTGACCCAGAGGAGTATTTTTTTGTAATGCGATATTCAATAAAAAGTGTGGATACTGTTTTTTTTTAATGCCAAACTCTCTCCTGGTTTGTGAGACCTAAAGGGGTGGGCTGGGAGGCTGTGTCTTGTGTTGTTCTGGCAATCCTGGATCAGAGCCATGGAGCAGAAAAGGGAGACTTTTTGAAGGTCTGGATTGTGTTTGACGACCTCAAACACAGCACAGAACCACAGGAAAAATAAAACCACGCAAAAGCAGCTCAGAACAAAGCTGGAGGAGGAACTATCCCTTTTCACTTTTAATGGGCTTCTATTTATTTAGCAGTCAGGCGGTGCAGAGCAATGAACAGTGATTGCACAATACATTTTCATTCAATTAAGGATTTTTGACCCTCTGCGTGGGATTGAACAGAGGGTGAAGGAGGATCATGTTTAGGCGAGCTGAGTGAGCACAAAACACGTGGTAAAAGCAGGAAGCAGGAAGGAAGAAGCCTTACAAACGGGCAACGCAAATCAGAGGCCTTGAACTTCTGGAGGGCACAGCAGCAGGGAAAGCAAGAATGTTTAGCATGCTGTAAGGCTATCTGATTCCAGCCAACACACGGACACGTTCTGATCTTTTTCTGTTTCCTTGACATCAGTATCTCCTGCGCGATACGAACAGGACAAAAGCCTTTGCCTGCTGCCCAGTTTTCTCCCATTTCCCCTGTTGAGCTGTGGCGGTTCCGCCCGACCCGCTGCCTCCCCTCGGCTCCCCTCCAGGCCCACGCCGCTACCTGTAGCAGTACACCCCGTACTCCCGCAGAGTTTTGTTAGGGAAGCCAAAACTGCGGACGCCGGGCTCTGGGAGCCCCCCGCAGCGCTCCCGCGGGGCGGAGATGGGGAAGCGGACGCTGCCGTCCTCCAGCCAGCCCCCGTCGCAGCGGTCCAGCCCTGCGAAGCGCCAGGCCGCGTACAGGTGCCCGACTCGGGCGATCTCGGCCCCCCGCGCCCCGCAGGCCTCCGCGGCCTCCGCGTAGGTCAGACGCCCCTCGATGTAGAACACCCGGCCTGGATCGGGGGAGAGAGAGAGGAGAGAAGAGAGGTCATGACCCTCACCCTAAGAGGTCATTTTTGCCCGGAGGAAAGCGTCGTGTCCAGCTGTTCCCTTTACGTCGCGGATGAGCCACTGTTTTCCCTGCCCGACAGTTTGTCATCAAGGCCAGCTGCTTTTCCAAGTGTCACGGTGCCTCGATAACTCTCACCCCCTCTAATTAGAAACCCCAAATCCGTGCCTTATCTCCTTCCATTCTTTTTTACACCTCCTGGCAGACGGGTCGTCACTGAAAAGCACCACACGGGTGGGCTCCGAGCACGGGCTCGAGAGGACGCCCTGCACTCGCCCGGGATCGGATGCAGCGATCGGCTTCTCCACAGCCCCTGCGCTTGCCCCCCAGCGCCGCCCCTTTCCCTGGCCTCTGCCCGGGCCCCGAAACTCTTCTTCCACGCAGGCGCAAGGCCATCCGTGGGCAGCGGTATAAAATGAGGGGATGCCACTTTTTGTTTCCAGCAGGGCCAGGTCAGGACGGGCAGGTGTTTACACCAGGGCTAGCTTGAACTTCCCCTGCCGTCTCTTCGGTGCAGGATGAGGGCCGGGATGGAACAGAGCAGCTGATTCTCTGAGCGGGCTGTGTCTGTCTGCACTGTGGGGGTGCGTCCTGGAGGCCGTCTAGAGAGATAGAAGCGCAGGCGTTTGCATGCAGCAGCAGCAGCAGCAGGCAGATCTGCCCCAGCTGTTTTTAGATCATTCCTCGCTGTAAAGTCTCACAAGCTAATTGCAGAGTAAAATCGGCCGGTCGTGGAGTGAGACTAGGGTCAGAGTTATACTTCCCACGGGTCTGAGGAGTGAGCTCTTCTGTATTCTGTAGATTATCTTTTCCTTCTGGTTAAGTGTTAGAAGGGAGAAGCTTCCAAACAGCCCTCCCTCATTGAGGTTACTGGTGCTGGGGGAATCCGGAGAGGCAAGAACAGGCCACACAGTCAGGATGGGGAAGGTTTGTACACCAGGGCTAGTCCTCGCCGTCCAGTTTTTAAAAAATTCCCTGCCATTTATTAAATACAGATGTATTCCTGCTCCAGCAGATAGACTGCAGGGACCCTCTCACAGGGGGTGGGTCTGCATACTGTAGGTCCTCCATTGCCAAGCTGCTGGTCTAGGGGGACCAGCCACAAGGGGGCGATGTGCCACAGGATGCCCGTGGCTCCCCCCCGGCTCTGGTTCTGACTCCCAGTGCCAGAACCTCCGGTCCCTCCATCTTTTGGATCGCGGGATGAAGCGACGGCTCTTTCGTTGGCCGGCCGGCAGCGAGCGTGGGGGCTGGGGATGAAAAGATCAGATTTTCCTGTCCCCGAGCCCCGCGGACTCCTCCGTCCGGATTCCTCGGCGATCTCCCTCTCTCTCGTGGGAGGAATATTCCACTGGAACATCCAGTGACATTTGGAGTCCCACGGCCTCGAACGGCTGAGGGGGGGGGGGTGGGGAGGAGAAGGTATTACCGGACAGAGTGTGAGACCGAGGAGCGGGGGCTCCCCTCAGACGACCTTTTCCGGGAGACCGCAGACAAGAGCTGCATTGTCCCCGAGGCCGCTGGCAGGGCTCAGACCTGTGCAGGGAAAGGTCAGGCTGCAGCTACACCAGCCATCTACGTCCCACAGCCCAGCCCCAGAGACCTGGCACGTGGAACAAGAGCTGTGACAGAACCAGGCAAGGCCATGATGTCCAGAATAACCTTCCAGTTTTGCAGCCGTAGTTCTGCACCGCAGGGAGGGGTCAAGCTAGTGACCCAAGAGTAGTGCCTGCTCACACAGCAGCCCCAGTCTCAGCCCAGACAGTCGCTCTGCCACCTCTGGAATGTGACCCAGATTGCTCAGTTGCATAACTGTCTGAAAACCGTGGGCCAGAGTTTCCTCGACTTGTGTGGGACACCTGTGAGCTTACTTACTCTGCTTTATCGTTCCAGAGGGGAAGTTTGTTTTGCAAGCAGTACAGGGCACATCACAGCACACGATACCTTTAACACAACATGAACCCGTTTACAGATAAGAGACATACCTGTATGGTGAGAAAGAATACATATTAATAAAGTAAAACATTCAATCAATTGTCCAGACTGAGCAGTGGGACTAAAAGATGCCGTAGTACTCCTGCTCTTGAGTCTAGGTGTAAATCGACGCCCAGATGGAGGCAGCTCAGATTCTCTGTGCATGGGGGTGCTCATGACGGTCAGTGATTATTAGTGCTATCTGACTGGCGTAGATGTCTTCCAGAAGTAGCTGTTGCGCGCTGATGATTTTGCTGTCTGTCCTGCTCGGTCTGTTTTCACTGCCTGTATTAATGTGGCCAAACCAGGACCGATTCAACGAAAGCTCTATGGAATAAAGCCATCGAGCTGGCGCACGGGGCAGTAGGAGTGTGGGACACCCAGCGCCCACGATCCGACCGGGGGGGGCTTTGGGAAGCAGAGGTCGCCCTCCCTCCTCAGGCTGATCGAGGAGGTCAGACGGCCATTTTTCCACACTGGGGTCAAACAACATGTTAAAAAAAATGGACCCTTCGTAACTGGGACTGACCCGGAATTACCGACACAGGGCGCCCCCCCCCACGCCTCGAGTGCGGCGGGCGGCTGACCTGGGGCGGGAGAGGTGAAGCAGAAGGCGTCGAAGCGGTCCCGGGTGGGCTCCTTGGGGCCGTAACTGCGGATGCCCGGCAGCAGGGCCCGCCCCCCGCAGGGCTCCCGGGAGTGGATGATGGGATAGTGGACGGTCCCGTCGTCCAGCCAGCCCGCGTTGCACCAGTCCAGCCCCTCTGTCCAGGCTGCGGACGACACGACAGCATTGGTCTCCGTGCAGGTGGGCAAACAGGGGGGTGCATTGATCGGTCAAACCACATTTGTGAAGAATCAATCATAATTATAATAATAATAATAATAATAATAATAATAATAATAATAGGCATAGTGGAGCAGTGATTAGCATTGGTGCTTTGTAGCCTTGGAGCTCTGGGTTCAATTCCAGACCCGAGGCACTATCTGTGTGGAGTTTGCATGTTCTCCACCTGTTTGCGCGGGTTTCCTCTGGGTGCTCCAGTTTCCTCTCACAGTCCATAGACATGCTGGTGGGTAAACTGGGCTCTGGGAAGGCTGGCCCTGGTGTGTGTGTTTGTGTATCGGCCCTGTGATGGACTGGCGTCTCATCCAGGATGTGCCCTGCCTCGCACCCGTTACATGCTGGGATCTGCTCTGGCTCTCCCATGACGTTGAATTGGAAGAAGTGGTTAGAAAATAAATAGATAATACTAATGCTTTTTGCCTACAAGCTTAAAGCATGTGCAATTCTTAAATTGCAGGAGCTAGACTTGTTCAATAGTTTCCAAGTGGGGACAAACAACACTTAAGCAGGTCAGGCAATCGCCTACTGTAACATACCCCTCTGTACAAAATCCCACATCCCAGTCATCGTGCACAAGAAACTGTGTCTCTGTGCCAGTTGACTTGCCTTCACAGACAGGTGTGGGGGGTGGATTACTGTGACAGAAACAGAGTGTGAACCTGGGAACAGGTTCTGCTCCCTGCTGTTTATTTACACTGAGTTACAAAATCGCTAATCTCTGTATTGTGCTGTGAGAAGTTGCACGTTTCTCTCAAGTTGTGACTTGTGGCGTAAAATCCTTCGCCTCATGCTCCTGGCTTATATTGGGCAACAATCTCATGAAGTAACACAGTAGTTTCTTGGGCAACACCTAATATACACACTACCTGTCTGGTTAAGATTCTGACAGACAGACAGAATAATAAATCTCACTGACAGCCGGGTGGGGTCAGTGAAGCAGCTGGTTCAATCCCCAACATCACCTCCTATCACAGCCTGAGCCGGAGGCCGTCCCGCTGAGGAAGTGGGGACAGGGGTTCGAACGGACAGCCCCTTTTTCTTTTCCGGCCCGAAACAAACCAACAGGGGCTCCCCCGATCTTTGAGAGACCCGGCTGCGGAAATAACTGGAGCATAGGAGATGCCGGAGCCCGGAATTAAGAGATGGTAGGTATTTGGTTGTATTCCCACTCAAACGTGCATGCAGTCGTTTTTAGAAACTCAGACCATAGCACATCTGGAACTGGAAAACGCCCCCATCACCGCCCCCCCCGCCCGCCTGCTCGCCATCCCCGTTACCTCTGTAGAGCTGTGGGTAGGTGGCCAGTCTGGCATCCTGTCGCTCACAGGCCTCTCTGGCCTCCCGGAGGACGAACCTGTAGCGGCCTTCCTGACTCTGGTAGGGAAACACCAGTCCTTGGGGGGGGGGAAGGGGGGAGAGAAAGAGGGGGCCCCACCCTCCGTTAGCAGCGATCGGAACAACAGAAGAGTGGGTACACACAGCTAGAGGAGCAGTCAAGGAATTAAAACATTTCTAAGAAGGAAAGCTAGAGCTCATCATGGTACTGGGGGGTCTTGCTGGCCTGAAGCTCTTTGAAGGTCTCAGTTGAAGCTGTTGGTCCGAGATGATCGGGGAAGCTGTTCCACAAGCGAGGAGCGAAGACAGAGAAGGCCTGGTCACCCAGAGCTTGTCGTTTGAACGTAGCTCTGGGTCCCTGCAGCAGATTCAACTGACCTGATCTTAAAGAGCCGGGTGAAGTTTGAAAAGAGGAAGGTGGGTGAGGTGGGTGAGACCTTTGCCTTTTACAGCCCTGAAACCCAGGAGCAATACTGACCCATCTAGCCCATTTGGGAGTTAACAGCTAATTGATCTGATCAGCTGGTCTAACCTAATTAATCAAGCTAATCAAGGAATTTATTTTGCTCAGCACGTTTCTTGAGAGAAGCCGGGGTGTCAGCTTCAACAGCACGGCCGGGCAGGTTGTTCCACACTCCCACCACCCTTTGTGTAAAGACGTGCCTCCTGCTCTTGTTTATAAATGCCCTTCTGGCTCCAGCTGTTCCCCATCGCGCTCCTGTTGTTCTCAGAAGGCTCTTCCTGGGCTGCAGGCTTGTTTTCCACCTGCAGTACAATGAGCCCTGAAGCCCAGTCACAGCAGCCTCATAAGACATGCCAGTGATATTTGGGATTCAGACCTGTGATGATGTGTATCACCCCGAGGTGAATTTTACTTAAAAAAATTAGTAAATTAGTTTCGTGCGGTTCCGTCCTCGAGCTCTCCTGCCGCTGATTGCGGAAATGCAATCCTAATGCTGTGTTCGAAGTTAATCAGGCGTGTTTGCTAGAGGGCACGCTGATATTTCAAGTGTCCCGTGTAGTAAAGACGCCCTGCAACAGTAAAACCGCAGTGAAAAGGAAAACTCCACCCGAGAGAGCGGCTCCCGGGGCGTTCATCGCGCAATCTGTAGCCCTGAGCGACCCGGAGAACACGTGGCTCAACGCCCCCGCCCCCCCGGCGAAAGGACTGTCGGTCCAACACCCCCCCACCACCACCAACATTAAATTAAACAGCTGGGCCAGCCGGAAGCAGCTTGACCAAACTCTTGCCCACTACGCTGCGGCGCCCGAGAACCCGCAGACGGTTCACCAGGGTAAGCTTTCATAAGGACAAACGTCACACAAGCTGTGAAAAATACAAGCTCCACTGCCAGCGGTATCGTATACTTTTTTTAAATAAAATAAGACACGATGACGTTCTTTCTTGAAATAACTCGAATGCGCGAAGTGAACTTTTTTTTTTTTTGAGAAAACCGGGACCGCTTCTTCGTGACGCGCTAGGAATCTGCTCTGCAGGTAAAATGGCGGGGCCGGCAGGGTGTTGCTTCAGCCTACAGCAGTTTTGTGTTCGAGTTACTCAGACGCCGCGGGCTGCTGCTGCTCGCCCACCTTCTATCCTCAAGGTGAGGGTGACGCTCTCGTCCTCCAGTCCGTTGACCAGCTCGCAGCGGTACCTGCCGTCGTCCTCCAGGCCGAGGCGGGTGATGCGCAGGGAGGCGTCGAGCGTGTGGGCGCGGCGCAGGAAGGCCCGGGGCCCGAGGGAGCCGTACCCGCGCTGCTCGTGCCCGTTGGTGATGAGGATGATGTCCTCCACGCCCGGGCGGTGCGGCTGCAGTTTGGTCCACTTGACCTTGTAGTGGGCGGGCCGGGCGCGCAGCAGACACGGCAGGGTGGCGTTCGCCCCGCGCCGGGCGCTCACCTCCGCGTACACCGGCGGCTCCAGCAGGTAGCGCAGCTTCTTGGGGGCGGCTGGAAACGAGCAGAAAAAGGCACCCCGAGGCCGGATCTCAATCTTTCTGGCAAAATGCCTTTGACCGCCGCCCAGTGCTTGGCTTTTTCAGGGCTCTGCTTGTAAAAAAAACTTTGCAATAACATTAAAATATTAAATGAAAGACGCAAACTGGGACCTAAAATCAAAAGCTTAAAGGTTTAGACAGTAATAGGTTTTTAAATTCCCAACGCACCTAAATTCGGTTGCTCTCATAAGTTATTGTGTAAGACTGATGATGGCATAGTGTCTCTACCTGTCTCCTGTCTGAAGAGTATGCATTGAAGCTACAGTAAGGCTATTTATATAGAGGCATATTTTCAGAAAACAATGACTCGTTGTGTTTTTTTTTATTGATGTTTGTTCAGGTGATTTGTTTTGTTTTGTTCCTTTCCGTATCGGAATAACTATACGGAATAACTAACTTCCGGAATAAACTATACGGAATAACAGATCGTCTTAAAGCAGTCCTGGTCCAACCCCCGCAAAATAAGCCCCCAGGTGCTGCACAGTTTGCCTTTGCAGAACGAAGGTCAGAAGAAGTTGTTTTTCTAAAACCTAGAAAGCCTAGCGAGTGGATATTGTGTCGTTGTGGTATTTCTTCGAAATCCGCAGTATGTCTGTGTTGTGGAGTATCTGGTGGGCACAGAGCGTTCTAAGGCGTCACACGAGTCTGACAGCAAACGTAAGATGCCCCCCAAATATAACTCCTACTTGAAGTCAGTTATCAATTGGGAAGAAATTCTCTTTCACAACGACGACCTGGCCAAGAGCCGTTTCACGACAATTGCACAGGAGACAAAGCAGCGAAATAAAAGAACAACCGATGAACACGCGAAAGACAAGCGTGTATAAAGTAACGGGGTTGGTAATATCAGCGCTGTGTTGCGCAGAAGTGACTTAAGTCACGGGACAGGAAACGCCCTCATATCGCGTGCTCTGCAGCTTATTCGTTGTCCGAACAGGTTAAATCCCCACAACGGTCGCTGGTCTTGGAAAGCTCAGCCTGACGAAAGGACTTGAGCAGCCCGGTTTAAAGATGAGCAGGGGCGACGACCCACCTGGTCTGTGATAGTGATGCACCGCTGAAGTCCAAGCAAAACTGGCGACGACCCAGGTCAGCAGCACCCCCGGGTGCATTGTGGGACTCTGACGGCCACCTCTCTTCTCCCTGCAAAACGACAGACGGTTGTCACTGACCACCCTGTTCTCTAGCACCTCCCTCTGGACGCATTAAGGAAAATACACTGGGCTGTGTCTGCAGCTCTGTTGATCACTTCAGGGCTAACAGGTGTAGGACGATCTCCTGATAAACCCAACTCCGAAACAAACAGGCAAACATTGCACCTCGGTGCTAACTACGTTCGAGTGCCAGAAACATTCAGGGGACCTGGGCCTCCTGCTCACTCGCTCACTAGCAGCTCAGCGCTGCAGGGGCCTAGTCCGGCTGTTTCCCGAAGAGCCGCAGGGAATCGCTGCCCAGGGCACTCGGCATCCCTACATGCTGCTGCTGTTTCACGAGAGCAGCTCCCCTTCCTGTGCCGTCCTGAGAGGCTCTTCCTCGTTGCTCTCTCGTAATGAGCTTTCCTAGATCCACCCATCTGCCCGAAACGGAAGATGGGGCTCCATGAGAACCCCCCCCCAAACAAAGCTCCTGAGTGATTCTCTCCCTGTCCCTCAGTCTATAGTCTCAGCCAACCTGTCGCCCACCAGCGGTCCGGTGGTTTTGAACAGTTCGTGCTCTGGCCTGCGGGAAACCAGGAACTGGAGCAGAGAGGTGTCACGGACGTCTGCTCTGTATTGTGCATCTCTTGGAACTGACCAGAAATAGCAAAAACCCAGCAAGGCAACTTAGTGCCGTAGTGCAGCAACCAAAACATAAGTGCATTAGCATTGCAAACGCAAAAGAGCGCTGTGTTCCGACATAACACTGGCGTGCGCTCCTCTGCAGTGCCCTTGCCCTTCGGGATTCAGCCTTCCTTCTTCTGTGACTAAACCAGGGGTCTCGGACTCCATTCTTGTGGGCCTTCTGGCTTCTGTCGCAACACCAGTAGTCAATTAAACTATTAACCTGATTCATTTCTTAGTTCTCTGAATATGGGATTTTTACGGTTGATTTCTTTAAACCTTCCCTTCATGAACGTGCACCGTTGCTTATGAAACGGCTAGGAACCAGCTTAGTATTGGAATCGGACAGTAAGTTCAATAAATCCAGCGGCACCTTAACCGAGAGCTCAGGTGGTCCCAGAATCGGAAGAAACCGGATCCTCTGGGACCGGGGTTGGAGTTGCACACTCCCAGCCTGAAATTCCAGTCTCCTCCCTCTTTCTGGCTGTTGGCAGTGCTGTCCGAGCTCTGCCCAGTTATGAATATTGGTTACACCTTGATGTGGCTGCAGGTGAGCTGAGCTCATCAATTGTTTCTCAGGATCTTGAAGATCCAGAAGCGTGTCGACAGTTTCCCATGACAGGCAGCAGCTGAGGAGACTTGTTTTTGTCCGGTCTGGTTTTCCTAGAGCTGTTCTCCCTTATGCCCTGCTGCAGTTGTCTTTGAAACGCTTCACTGATAGTTTTTGTTTTTGCATCCTCTTTCGCATGACACCTAGTCAGTGTGCTTTGTTGTTCTGCTGTTTTTTGTTGCAAAGTGATGGATATATATAGATATAAAATAAACAGATCAATTGACTGCTTGTAATTTACAACTCAAAAGCTCAAATGGCAGAAACTTCTTTTGCTCCTTTGCAAAATTTGCTTGACTTTTTTTTTTTTTGCCTGGTTTTCATGAAAACACATACTGAATGCATTAACTTGCACATACTGAATGTTTGGATACACGTTGACAGATAAGTACATCACCTCATGACTTTTTGCCATTTACCTTGTTTGACTTATAGCCTTTAAACCTGTACAGTTCCGCTGGGAAACCTGCAGCAAAGCATTTGCACAATAGCAAAAAGAAGCTCCCCTAGTCAACCGATTTATACTGTAAATCCTGCAAGAACAGTTTTTCACACAAGGCCTGACATTTAGTGTTTTGTTCACCCTAGCACCTGGTTTGGAGTGGTTAAACAGACACATCTGCTTAAGGAAGTCAGGCTGTGGTTAGCAGAAACGATTCCTCATCACAAACACGGTGTGCACTGCACCTCAGGCTCACTTGGGGCTCAACGAAACACCCGACTTCAGAAATGCCTCTTTCTCATCCCCCCCCCGACAATAGAGAAGTCGCTGCACCATTGATTAACGCCGATGATGGGTTCTTTTTTTCTGCATCGTGAGCGAGGGACACCTCTCTCTCTCACTAAGCCCTCACTGCACTATGTTCTGAAAGAGACAGTAACAGAGTCTGACCTGCTGAAGTAGACTTGGCTGCAGCACTTGTGGGTTGCTTTTGGTCACCCCGTTATTCCCCCCCGGCAGGCAGGTTGGCGTCCGAGTGATCAGGGCACTGCCAGTTGCAATGGGGCAGTGGCCTCTGTCTCTGTTCGACTGCTCTCTCTCTCTCTCACTCTCTCACTCTCTGTGGGCTCTGCGGAGCCCTCCTGTGTTCCGGCCAGGGAAAGTGTCAACAGCCTTTTTCTGTGCTCCGTTCCAGATGTTAATGAGAAAATCACAAGCCCCTATTGTTTTGGCAGCCCGTTCCCTCTTCCGCAGTTCAATATGGGGACGTGGGGTAGAGGGAAAATGAATAGCGGTGGGGAGGGGGGGCGCTGGGCGCTGGGCGCTGGGCGCTGGGCGGCCACCTTTGAACTGGGATCTTCTCTGATCCGAATCTGTACCAGCACTGGGCCTGGTGTCTCTGGGTCTGCCATGTACTGCTGTTCTGCCAGGATACCTTTGCATTCCCTGTTTTGAGTTGGCATCCCCCCCCAGCTCAGTGGGTGGCGTTAATTCCCACGCCCTCACCTGATGTGCTGTGCACTGAGCTGCTGGCTCAGAATGGCTGCTGTGAGCCTCCCAGCCCAGGTGGGGCTGGACTTCAGTGGGGCTGATGTGGGTTCCCTCCTATATGTGTAGCGCTGTGGCATCCTTTGGGATGAGAAGTGCTTTATATTTGCGTGGAAGAATTATTGCTCCTTTAAAAGCTCAGATCCCCCTGACTGTGCTGTGCAGGGTGGGCAGCGCTTGGGCCTGACGGTCCTAACAGTGAGACCTCCTCCGGGCCGCTGCAGGGTCTGAGCTCCAGCCGAGCCGGGCAGCGGGCCGGCACAGATCCAGAACGCACTAGCTGAGGCCCGGAGAGCAGAATCCGGGCGCAGGAGACGGAGGAAGTCTCTCCTCCGGACCCGCCAAGCACCTGGGTGACCAGGGAGAAGGGGGCGGCTCGTGCTCAGCCGCTGAGCTCGGAGGGGTTAAGTGGGATGAGAGCAGAGGTCTGTGTGTTCAGAGCCCTCCTGCGCATGAGACCCGCGGCACAATGACTTCATTGTGGGAGCTGCTGCCTTTTTTTTCCCTCCCCAAAGAAAACGGAAAAAAATGATATAAAATAATGGGATTCCACTGCCTTCCCTGTCTCCCTTCTCCATTGTGTCTCGGCATCAATGGGTTTCATTCTCGGCCACTCACGGAGGGCTATTAGTATTCATGAGGGCGCCTCTAGGTGACAGCTCACCCCCTGTCTGCCTCTCTCTCTTTCATACTTCCTGTCTCTCTTTCTCTTTCCCTCCCTCTTGGTCTGTTTCCCCTTCTCTCTCTCCTTTCCTGCACCCCTGTCGCTTGTTCTTCCCTGCTCTCTCTCTCTCTTCCCCCCCCCTGCGGTTTTACAGGCAAGCTGGGGAACTCGTCCCCTCTCTGGGGTTCACAGGGGGCAGCTGGCTGCCTGTTCTCAGGAGGCTCAGACGTCTCGGAGGATATTGAGAAGGTGGGCTGAGTGTATCAGTCTGTAACTAGCAGCAGAGAGAGTTTAAAGGAAGATCTGTTGCATTGGTTTTTCAACACTCTTTGTTTCTGCTGCTTGTGCATAAACTGAAGGCATTGCATCTCATGAAGGCTGAGCCCCTCTCCTCCATCTGAAACAATTCTCAGGGTCAGATCATCAAAGCCCAAAACTCCAACCATTCCAACTAAAAGGCTTAAGCATGAACATCAAGGATCTTTTTTTTTTTAATTTAATGTTGTAATCGACTGCAGAAGACATCGCAGTCGTCAGGGGAGTGTTGCATGACCATCGAGTGTTGTACCATAATGCCTTATAAAAAAAAATGTATTGCAAATAATGCATGGTAAAAAAAACTTTGGAAGAATATGCAATAAAAATACTGTACTGTAGAGCATGTATTTCAACGTGTTTCAGGTAATGCACTGTAAAGAATGCACTGGAATATAGTCTAGAAAATACATTTTAGGAAGTGCTTTGCATTTAAAATGTTTGACAATAGTTCGTGTTTTGTGGGATTTGCCAGGGTGCGAGGTTGCAGCTATGATTTCTGGGAGAGGAGGAGGCGACGGCGAGAACCAGTCACTCTTGGCGAGCTGAGACACGTTGGCAGAGCTGAACAGCGGCCAGATGCTTTGCTGCGATAGGAGTGGTGATTTTCAGGTCAGTGACCAGACCATAGAATTGAAGTTCATGCTTGGCTGTATCTGGAAAGCTGTTATTTACTCTTTTTTTTCCCACAGACTGTTAGCCTTGGGCTAACGGCTGGTTTCTGCACGCATTTGCCTTTTGTACTGTACCCCTCTTCTGCCTGTCCTGTCCGAAACTGCCTGGCTGATCTGTGTTGAAAGTGCACACATGGCAGATCACCTTATTTTCAGTCTCTAGTCTCTTGTACTTCACGAGGAGCTAAGGCTCTTAAGGTGACACAATTTGAAAGTAATGGCAGTCACCCCTTGGTTCGGTTCTGACTTTCTATCTTCAGGTCCAGCTTTCAAATCACATGTACACCACTGCATGCTGGGTAGGCTTATCAATGCAGTCAGCTCCTGTTGACGTTCACTGGTTTAGGGTTTAAGGACCTTGTTACCACTAGGATCCCAATTCAGAGCCTGACCCTCTCCCTGATCCAATGGGTCAGACCCAGCAAGTTAATGCATATCCCTGTGTCCCGTCTTGGGATGTAAAACTCCTGGTCCTGCTGACTATGGAATGATCAGCAGACAGATTCCCAGCTGGGGCCGTGCAAGTTACCTCACTCCGATCTCTCCAGTCATTTCCTGCAGGAGTGTTCTTATCAGTTTAAAGGACACCTTTCAAAGTAAAATCTGCAATTGCTTCAGAATCAACAGTAACATTATTAATATTTAAAGCAGATCTACAGGTCGGCAGACCTCAGTTGTTGGTCCTGTCAGTTCAGATCCACTGTGTGGGAGTGGTGATATTAGAGACTGAATAATATAGGCTATAAAATACAGGGTGTGTGAAGTTTCTCTGTATTTCTGGGGACCGAGAGCAGCTGTGTGGAATGAGTGTTTGTTCCTGACTGTTTGAATTGAAAGTCAGTGTAGCCTCCTGGTGGTGGAGGTGTGTAAGTATTTCTTTACTCTGCCGTTTGATTTCTTGTTAACTTCTCAAAGCTTACCCAAAAAAGCCAACGCTTTTACCCTAGCCAAGTTGTAGATGAGTGACAGAGTGACGGCACAAGTCTTTGTTGTCATTGACAAATGTCATTCACACCAAGTTCAAGTCAAACTG